AATACTTTCAATCTTTTAATTTGAAATACAAAATACAAAATACTTTTTAAGTTTTTATTTGAAATACAAAATACTTTTTAATTTAATCTTTCAATTACAATAATATATAGTATTAAACTCCTCGCTTCAACAGGCCTCTCTCCACTTTTAGAGAGAAAGAAAAATTGTTTTACTCTCTTACATTTTTTAACAGTTTTGTATCAATCACACGAGAAATCTATTTACTAATGTGAGATTATGAAATTTGACTCTGATGACTTGATATTGCTGGAAACTTGACGAAAATAATTAGTGTCATATGAGAAAAATTTAAGTTACTCTTAATGGTTATCAAGAATTTTTATCAGTAATTTTTTTAGTATTTCGAATACAAAATAGGTTGAAATTGTATTTAAAATACAAAATACATTGAATAATTTATTTGAAATACAAAATACAAAATACTTTTATGTGTTCCGCTGAAATACAAAATACAAAATACAAATTGTATTTCAAATACTGTATTTCAAATACAAGTATTTGAAATATGCCCAGCTCTGCCTGTATTGCGGCAATGCAATGCTAGCAATACACTATCAATATACAGCAATATCTAGCCATACATTAGCAACTACTTACTTGACAATATATTGTGCAATAGGTGGCAATACATAAAGTGATAGATGGCAATATTACTGACAAAACGAAAGCAATACAATGGCAATACTATAACAATAAAGTGTGTTGTATTGCCATAATTGGCAATCGCCGTACATTTTTTTAGCAACGTGGTTGACCCCTCGAAGAAAACTGTAGGTCATCAATTTTCATGGTATATCAATTTTCATGGTATATCAATTTTTTCATGGCACGCCATATGATGTGCTTAAGTTAAGCGCAAGCTGAATGAAAAGCTGGGAATTTTACGAAGTCTACACTTGCAAAGAGAAGCTTCCGACAAGAATAACCGGATCGCGAACAATATTTACCTCTCCTGCATACTCGCGGCCAATTGTTCCGTCGTGATGTCCAGTAGATTCGCAGGGCTCTCGAGGGGCTGTATCTTCGCCCACACTTTCGGAGTTGCCATCGCTATTTTATATAATCTCGACCGGGACGAAATTGAAGTTGCACGGCACAGACACGATGTCGCGCGCTCACAGAAATTGGGAGATAAATACGAGTTTCACAAGATATACCCTACCCTTCCCTTCCCTCCCCTCCCCCCTCTTAACCCTTTATCTCTTCTTCCTCTGTTGGTCGCCTCTGGATGTCAGATTCAATTTGAATCCGAGTACCAACAGTTTCTTCGGTGTTTCCTGGACCTCAGAAGGGACCCCCTCCCCCTTTGTTTAAAACACCTTTCCTCCTGTTACGCGATTCCGAGCAATTTCTGGATGGTGTCATACGAAACGTTTCTGCCACGAGCCCTGCTCCCCCCTCCCCCCTCCCTCATCCCAACTCCGAGACCCATCGCGCGGATAAAACAGAATTGTTTACGATGGAGCTTCTTATTCAGCGTAAATATTTATCGACAGTCGGTAATATTGGTACTCTGCAATTATCAACAGATCCTCATAATATTGAATATATTGACAATCAGGGCCGTCGGTTGTATTTAAAGTAACATTATTTAAAATATTTAAATGTGTATTATAAATGAAAAAAAGAAAGAGTTATTTAGTATTTATTATTTTAAATTTCATTTTATATCTTCTTCTGATCTATTTTACATTTAATATTTTAAATATGTTTTTGGAATCCATTTTATATTTTTCAATTTTAAATAAGTCGTGTTTCTGGAATTTATTTTATATTTGTTTATTTTAAATAGGTTCTATCAGTTACTTTACTGATTTCTGCTTACCAGGAATCGGTCGTATTTAAAAAAAAAACATTTAAAATATGTATTTTAAATAAAAAAAAAGCAAAAGAATTATTTAGTATTTACTAAATAATTTCTTCTGATAGCTATTTCTTATTTAATATTTTAAATATATGTTTCTGGAATCTATATTTTATATTTTTCATTTTAAATAAGTCGCATCAGTTTTTTATTGAGCCCCTGCGATATTTTATTTTAAATAAGTTTCTGGAATCTATTTTATGTATTTATTTTAAATAGTTGTATTAGTTATATTTTATCGAACCCTGTTGGGAATTTATCCAGGAATTAACTTTTAGTTGTCTTTTATAAGAGTCGTCGATATACATATATGATTTTAATTATTGTTTATACAGGGTGTATTTTTAGTGCTTACTATAATTATAGAGCAGTAATTACTGCAGTATAATAGTGATTGCTTCATTGAGTATTGTAGAAAAAAATTATTTAGCTTAACTTTTCGACCCAATTTTTTATAAGGAATAATACATAATACATATAATTAATGAGCACTATAATTTAAAATACACCCTGTATAATAATATTCTATGAGTATGTATATCACACACTAATAACGCACTAATATATATATTTTGTAATTTTTAGAAATGTGCAAAAAAAATATGTATTATGAAGTACTTGTCTTTACAATATCCTCATTTTTTCTCATCATCCATAAAATTTATATAAGAAAGATTCTAAAATCAATATTTATAGACGGTTCTCATTTCAAGAATCGCAATTCAGGCGATGCTGAAGATTTATCTATTTTAATGAATACAATAATCTTTGTGTTGAAATTATATATATAATACTTTTTAATTCTGGAGGAGTTAATAAAAACAAAAGTTTTCATAATTCAGATTTTTACTATTTCTTAGCTTTTATGACTTCTATATGTATATTACGACTAAAACTCAAATCACGAACTAGGCAACACGTGCTTGATATATCAACTCTGCAACTCGTACTTGTATAATTATAGTTATACTTAAAATAAAGAAAATATAAGGCATATACACTCAACGATGCAGGATGTAAAAAGCTATAGATGATGATGACAATAATCTGCAGGAGGTATGATCGGCAAGGTCGCATCTGCCTAAAATTCCTGTCAAAAATTTTCTATGCGTTTTCGAGAAATATCTAAAAAATTTCAAAAATCGACGAAATATCAGATGATCGGTAAAGAGCTCACGCTATCTAAAATTTCCTCGATTTTCAAGAACTTTCGATGTTTCCAAGAAATATTTAATTTCGAAAATTCTGAAATTCGACAAAATATCAAGAGAACACAACCAGCAAGAAAGTTACACTGTTAAAAATTTCAAGAATTAATGATTCCGAAAATTTCATTTGTTCATAATTAGTGGAACTATATATTCAAAAAATTAAAAAACGCATCTTCATATTGTAATTTTATGTCCATTGAAGATCTGTCTCCACTTCTTAACTGCTATAATAATACATTAAATAATATTAAAATAATAACACATGTTACTTATCGCATGCTCAAGGACGAATAATATAGTACACCTTCGATTCTAATTATTATTAATTTATTCCAGTAAATCTAGTACATACACAAACGATTCTTTTTTTGTTTCTTTTTAATAATATTCCATTCACTCCGTCTGCTTTTCCTCAAATCGTCCTTCAAATTCCGTAGCTAAACCCTTAAATGGAAACTTAGGTGTGCCAAGAGCAGTGATTTGGCGAGTTCGTTAACGAAAAAAAATTAAAATGTGATTTTTTTTTGTTTCGAAACGGGGTAGAAAAGACTGAACGATACGTATACGCTTATATAAGATCCCGTCGTATCTTGTTGCCTCATTGCATTAGTCCACTCTACAGTAATGCATGGGACACGAATTTCTCTCTCACAATTTACAAGTTTTAATATGCGTTGAATTGGCAATTACCGAATGTGGTTCCTCTTTATAAATATGATGATCATATATGTACAGAGATACATTATCGATGTCACACGTTCGCACATAGAATAGAGACAGCTGTCGTACATCTATTTCCGAATGTCACAAAATGCATTATCCCTTACCTTAATACAATAATCGATACAAAAGAAAGGTTCTCTGTTTTTCACTAGGGGGCACTAAAATAGTATGCTTATTTTTCTTAAGTAGTAAAAAATGCCATCAAAAATCAAGAAAAAGTAGAGAAAAAAAAAAAGATCTCTACCTTAGGTGAGATCCGCATTTTTCCTCTCTTGTCGAAAGTTCACGCGAGATATATTTAATAATATACAATTAAAGCAGCAAATATTTGCAGCAACTTTTAATTTTAATCATTGTGAATTTTTACCTATGGAGGAAGGAAATCTGCATCATCTTAAAATCCTCTACAACCCATGCATTACGATAAGTGCATCATGCAGCAAGAGTTTCTTAGCTACACATTGTCCAAATGTCAGTCTTGACGCGCGTAAAGTGATTGCCGTTATTCACCGTATGCCGAACAATTCGAAATGAACCGCGGGCCTTACGAGTATCGTGGAGATGTTCCGAAAGTTTAATCGCTCGCGCGTAACCCTATTGTCGCTAATTTCCGTGAATAAATTACAGGTGACAGATGTATCTTTTTTTTTTTTTAACTAAAGAGCACCTTAAAAAGTGACGACATGGAGAAACTTTGACATTATAAACTAAAAGGTCTTAAATAGACTTAAGTAAATAATGTACTCGTTTTACGTTTTCTACGTGCAATACATTAAGAGCTAGAAGGAAATCAAATCCTTAAAAAAAAAAAAAAAAAAAAACTTAAGAAAATAATCTATGTCGTTTCCTACATAAAGAACGCATGTATAAATACAAAGAATGTGAAATCTTGAATCTAGATGCCGAATGTACACGTAATAAATACAGAAGTAATGCAACTCGATTTGTAATGTATTACGTTTTCACCTGGAAATCTCTCGTATCCTTTTTTTTTTTCTAGAAAAATTCAGCTAAAAACTGCAATTTACGAAAAATAATGTTACAGCGCAAACGATTCTCGCGAGACAGTTCAATTTGCGCTATTTTGAGTTCTTGTTTGAGCCACTGTGTTCCAACACTTAACATTCAGGCTGTAAGAAATAATATCTCGTGTTACACAGATTGCATTATATATCCAAGATTACAATAGAATAATTAATTTTATTTATTATTCAGGGTTGCCACGGAAAATGAATTTTGAAATTCCTTCCACGATTTCCAAACGACAGTGGAAAATTTTCCACGATCAAATATACAATTCTAAATTTTTATGTTTAGAAAATACATATTACGAGAAAAGTAACTTATTAAAAGCAACATAAATTTAGAAGTTTAATAACATAATATAATCCCAAATGCAAATTCAGGCCAACAAATTATTAATATCTTTGACACTGTTACTTTGATTTTGTGCATTAAATTACAAAAAAAGATTCCTTTGGTATAACTGAACTTTCCGTTGCTTGGAAAAATTCAGATAAAACCAGACCAGACAAAAATTCAGTGATAAAAGCAGAAAGATTCCTGTAGATTTCTTTAATATATCGCTAATATTCAGAATATTTTCGATTGCGACAACAGAGAGACGTCTCGACCAAAACCGTAATTTTCGAAATTTTTTCAATTTTCACACAAAATTTTATTCTGTTATTTTCTATTGTTTAATTTTGGAAAAGGATTTTCAGAAAAAGCAATACATAGAAAAAAAATCTAACAAACTGTCGTTAAGAGTTACAGAATCGGGGTGGGTCCCTTTTAAGGAGTAAAATTCAAAATTCCAAGCTCATATCTTTTCCCCTAACTTTTCCAGGTTTTCCCTGACTAGTTTAAATTTCCCTGATTTTTCCCGGTTTTCCAGATCTATGGCAACCCTGTTATTACAAACTACGATTATCACACTCTCTCTCTATCTCCTATTATTTCATCAAACGAACCTGTAAAGCCTTGCGGTGGTTGCCCCGGAACTGAGTATTGTGGTCTAAAGTTCCCGAAATTAACAGCACCCGCGAAGGTGGCCGGCAATTGTCCTCCGGAGAAACCGGCCGGGAACTGCTGCGCCAGTAGTGCAGCCTGCCCGGTCTGAGAACTCGTGCCACCGGGTGCCGTGGCCGCCAGGCGACTCAGTATCGACCTCTCCGACATCTGGAGTCTCTGGGCGACCGGTGGGATACGGGCCAGAGTTGCTGGCAAACGACTCACGTCTGATTTCATGTCAGACAGCAACTCCTCCAATTGATTTAATACCTATAAAACAAAACAAAAAAACACACGTTTAGATCATCGACATTTTCCGCGAAATTTATTTACATATAATGTTTGGATTTAAGATTGAGAACCAACCTTATGCAATACCGCGTTTGCCGGCTTATTACCGGCGAGACTCTCCTTGCTTAGATGCTGATGGGATTCAGCAAGACACTCAACCTCGGCGAATCGCGCATTAAGACTCATGGCAGGGTGATTAGGATCTTGCGTGAGATTCAAGTAGGCGGCCCGCCTTAATTGCTCTTCGATTACCAACGCCTGTTCCAGGAGTTTAAAGCGCCTCGCCAAAAACTTATTCTTTATCTCCAAAAAGTTACCCTTTCCCATGTCCATCTTAAATGGCTCGTTGATGATTGCAAATCTGTAACGATAAACATAATAATTTTATGAGTAGAAAACTAAAGAAATTTTAAATCGTAATATGATTAACGTTGTCACATCGTGATCTCAAAACTGCAATCGGAATTTAAGGGGGTCATCCCGTGTGACGACCGTTTTTTTTTTAAGGTTTATTTAAGGTAAGTTAAGGCAAATTTTTACTATATATTTATTACATCTTAAACTATATGCTGTCTCTTATACACAT